TGCGGCTCACAACCTCTTATTGAATAATAACAACGCAGATGTTATTATTTGGGAATGAAAGGGAAGATTTTGTAAGCAACGCCTCTTTTAAGATTACGCTAAATGATAAGATTATCTCTCCTTCTTCAGACGGGTGTAAAAACGATTATGGTTTGACGGTGAGTTGCGGTTTTCTAAGCCCGTTGAGGACTGTATATTCATAAACATCTTCTCAGTAAAGAAGTCAAACTCTGTGACATGTTCGTTTTATCCCATGTCGCTTATTGTAGTCTCGTCTATTGGCCAGCTATAATCAGTCGAGATAAGGAGAGACTCCAACGACTTCAGACTGCTTGTATTCGTTTTAGTTACAATATCAGAAAGTATGACCATATTTCACAGTGCCTCTGCGATTCGGGTTGGTTCAAGCTGGAGGACCGACATAAAGTTCAGTGAGCCACCTTTGTTTTTTTACTAAACTCCAATAAGAACCCGTCGAACTTGTTTGATAAACTCTGCAGAGGAAATGATATTCATAATCGAGACACCCGTCATTGTTTAAGATATTGCGTTCCTAAACTTTTGCTAACAACCTTCGCGAATGGTTTGAGCTTTCATGTTGTGCTATTTGGAGCAGCAATCTCTACAATTAAAATAGCCATGATAATCAGCAATAACACGCTATACTTTACAACAAGAAGAACTAGATATTTCGAATCGAATGATAAATTTATAGTTCCGCCGGGTAACAAAACTCGCTTTCCTATTGGCGCCCATTCTAACCGCTGAGCAACGTGTGGGAAAATAATGCACACCACCCCCAAGTAACCCCCGCTTTGTTACTTTGCGTTGCAAATTCACAAAAAAAGAACGAGCCGTAAGTATAATAGACAAAAATGAAACGCTGCTGGGGCTGTATTAAAATTGAAGCGTATTTTTCACATAGGCGGCTCATAAAGAGCACTTGTACGGAGCCGTTCATTATTCCGCTTGTCTCAAACCGGGGTCTAATTAGTGAACCGTTCTGGGGGCGGGGAATGCGATGACAAGGTCGAGGTCGAAAAACTCGGCCTTGAATTAAATCCGTCGGGTTAAATTTGGCGTGGAACGACTCGCTGTCAACTCGATTCAATTGAAGACGATAATATATACTGAATATTTATGAAATCGTCGACATTTCATAATTTAATTACGAAATAAGTGTTTTTCGCTTATTTTAAGAATTTATCCAAAACATAACAAGTAAGGGCAACGAGGTACTATATTGGAGAAACGGATGGTCCAAGAAATTTTGAAAATAAAAAAAGAGAGGGAAATTCGCCAATATGAAATGTTGGAAATTGTTTTGGGGTTTTTAAAATGATCACCAAAAGGCGCGAATCACTAGTTGCATGTTGGAAATTTTGTTAACTATTGTAAAATGCGGAAACCCATTTAAATAATGAATAATACTTTTTTTTGTCAGGAATAATTCATTTATGATTGTCCAGTTGTCACGAAAACAAATTTTGTCTTCATCTGACCAAACGCTACGTTTAAATTTGTTAAATATCTATTGCATTAAAATTGTCTTACTTAAACTCATCGTAATCACTTAGGGGAAATTAGAGGCATTAGGAACGAAGAATCATACTAATTATTTTTTAAAGTTATATTTCTTAAGAACTTTTGATATGTGTTTTCAATGTAAGGAAGGACAGTAGTTGCAAGTGTGGGGATCCTTTTAGACTAGTTGTCTTTAGGAGGTTATGGTGAAGTGTATTTTGTGATGGCATGCTTAATACCTCTAATGTGAAAATTATTAGAGAGAAGAGTAGAGTGTTTTAATCCATTGAAACAAGAGAGGTGATAAGCGATACTTTTTAGGCCGGATGGTGATATGACAATACATTAAGGTATCGGTCTCTGTGCCTAGGCGTTCTGTAAACAGAATGACAAATTTTCTGATTTTCTATTGATAAGAATATCTAAGAATGGGAGAGAGCCAGAGACAGAAAATCACAGAGTCATTCTTGACCATGAGAAATGGAAGATGTCGAAGGCTTTATTCTCAAAGGTATCCTTAAACATATTTTTCTACTCCCGTCTGTAAAATACCTATTTACACACCGATCTAGCGTGCGGAGAGCGTCAGTTTACCACGTCAGTTTTATTTCCTTCGGACATTACCGGGATTTTACCGCACGCCTTGAATTTGACGTTTGTCAATTCTGACGGCCATTCAATGAATGTTGTTTTGCAAAAATGTACCCAAAAACTAACGTTCGTAAAAAAAGTATAGCAGGCATTACGTTCGGTAAACTTTTTAAGTCACTCGTTCATTAAACAATCGCTCCGCTCATGTCAAATAAACTCGTGAGTCAAATGCCGTTTACCGCACTTGTATACTATTATAATATACTATCGCTGTGAGTGGGGATAATGCATAACCCATAGTTATTCCCGAAGTTTCTTCAAAAATTTGACCGTTATAAGAAAAATATATTGCAAATAAGATAAATAATAAACGATTCTTATTTAAATTATTATTATTTATTTAAGTTTACGTACTTGGATTATTTAAAGTATTTTAATAAAACAGATAGACAATTACTTAAGTAAGAAATAATAATGATAATAATTCTCTGCATTCTGTTATATTTACGATATTATTGCGGCCATGCAGATAAGAGGTTTTTATTTTTTTTAGGCCAAAACCGTAGATCGGATTGAAAAAGTGAAGAAATTAAGTTTCTTTAGAATAATTTTAATTTTAAGAGAAATCAGTGGCGTACCATCAACGTCCGCCAATTGGCGTATTTTCAAAAAATAAAGTGGTATAACAGATATAAAAAAATATATATTTTATTTTTGAAAACTTTAGCACCCTGTATCTCAAAAGTTCAGATGTTCAGAACATATGTTCATATGAAGTTTTCTTTTTAAAATGAACCCAAAAGTCGCACCCTCAATTGACATTCAATTAAAGAACACCCGGTACACTTTTTTCCAACTAAGCCAACCGGAGCGTAAGTCGTCGCCATAATCCGTTTAATAGAGCTGCCCCCATCGACCAAACTCGGCGGATAAGTTAAAAAAAGGAAGCTCGTTCGAGCTTTCCGGATTGATAACTAATAGAAGGGGTATCCGCGAGCGTCGAAACTTTCCAGTTTTTCGAAAAAGTTTTGCTTCCGGGGAGATATTCCCTGTAATGGGTTTCGAGACGCTTGTGTGTGGCGCCTCGTTTTCTCGAACGAGTTCCTTGTCACCTAGACCGGGATAAAGGTTTATCTGTAAATAGATCCGGGAATTACGAAAGATACCGGTAATGGCGTTTCCATTGCAATCGTTTTAAAGCGATTGTACCCGGATTTTCCGACACTTTTTTTTAAACATGCATTTTTTCAAGAAGCGAAAAATGCCACCCAGGAAATGCAAATATTTTTCCGGCAGAGTATTTAAATGTATTTCGAATATTTAATTTCAACTACAATTATATTTGTAATGTAATTAAAAGAATTTTCATAGATAATCCGGATTATAAATTCATCGCTTAACTACTTTTAATTACTAAGGGGAAGTTAATTGGATACTGAGTGACAGGGGTGCTTGTCTGAGATAATAAAAAAAAGCGAGTTTGTATTATTGTATTATAATTTTTTCGTAAATTACTTTAATTCCAATGCAATCTTGGGGATATTTGTATTTAAATTACATTTAAAATGCCAAAAAATGTATTAAAATTCGTATTTTATGTATTTCAAATACATCTTAAAATGGACTAACATGTCATTAACAATTATTCGTCCATCACTTTCACCATAAATAAACTTATCCTATTTTTTTTTACCAAATTGAGAGTTTGCTTCTGGAGCATGCTCCACCGCAGACAGAATAAGTCATAATCTCACTTTAAGCCTTTTTTCCATACTTTTATTCTCGAAATTGGTATTCACGTTTTTGGGTTTATATAAATGGTGAAACAAGTAATTACCTTACGGTTCTCTTCAATCGTCTAGACTGCTGATTACCGAAATAAAGAAAAAAAAAACTAACAAAAACTGAATCGGTTTCTAATAGACGACTGTTTTATAATCTTATTAAGTATCGCATCGTTTGTGTAAAAGAAATGTTGTTTGCCCGCCTTTATATCTTATTATTAGCTCTGTTTTAGATAGGTAGTATCGTTTTGATTTTTTTGCCATGTTTTACTTGTAGATGCAATAGTTACGGGCGCTGCTATTCTTATGGAAATAACTTGCATTTTTATAAAGCGTCATTTGAAACAAGCAGAAATTGCTCAGATGTAATTGGTCTTTATGAATTGTCAACGATCTCATTGGGTCACCTTCCTATACAAATTACTCGACATTTCGCATAGAAAGTTTCATGTCAAACTACTTTTCACAGTCTTTAATTATTTAGAATCTATTGATAATATGGATAAGTAAAATAACAAGCCAAAAGTTGTCATTATTATTCTTGCAATTGCAAAATCTTAATAAAGGCATATTTTACTTAAGCCTGAAATTGTTTAAAACAATTTCCTTCTGATTCCTTTCTGTTTAGCTTTACAAGTTCCAACTAAAGTTTCTTCATTTTGTGTTCTTGACTATTCCATTTTATGTGTCTAATATGCGCCATGCTATGAATCGACAATGTCGTCTGATATTTTCATAGCTTGTCGATGTGTCAATAACATGAAAACCCAAAATTCTTTCTAATAAGCATTGATTTTGACAGTGTTCGGCATGTTTCTGGTTTTATTTACATCAAAAGAATCAGAAGACACTAGAATTGACCAATTTTATTTTTGTATTGATCTTTATCCTACCCTATTCACCACCAAGCCGACTAAGAGTTTTTCCTGGCTTAAGATGCAGATGCAAATTGCACAGCAGCTTTCATTCTATTGCAGCTTGATTAAATGCCAGGATGGTTTTTTTTTGTATTCTGTGTTAAATTACAATTTTCCCTCGATTTCTGATGTAGACGAAAGAGAAGAAGCGCTTCACTTCTAATGGTTCACTTTATTTTTGCAGAGCTGGAGAAGAGGATTCCTCTCACAGCGCAGACGACCTACTGCGCAGAGCTGGAGGAGCTCCAAGAATTGCTCCACTTTCCTGAGGAAGTCGCCCTACGATTGGCCGATACCGAATACCAACTGTTCTACCAGGTACGGTCGCTATATTTAAATTTAAAATTAGTTTTTCCAGTTGTAAATGTTGACCAAACGGAACGGAGCGCTGAAGCTGGTCTGTGGTTTTCTAAATTGCACTGGGATTACTTTAAGAAATGTTCCAAAACGTCTGTTACAATAGTGATGTTCATTGTGGCCGTTAAGAGACTGTCATATACTATTTTACGGAAATATTTGAGTAGTAGTGTAGCCTGCTGTAGTATTTCAAATAAGCATGTTGCTTACACGGTTCAACGTACTTCATTGGTAGTTTGCTTGAAGATGGAAGACCATGATTCAGTAGAAATACTAATAGATTGTCTAATTTCCATTGTCTTTCTTTTTGGTTTAGACTGTAGGAGATTGTGTTTTCACTGTAAACAAAAAATAGAAGTTCTATTAGCTGTTAGTATTCATTGGTAGTGTGTAGTTTGGTAGGTTGGGTCTGATGTTCGGTTAATAAGAATATCCAATAGTAGGAGATTATTAAATGAGGCTAAATAACAAAAGTATCATCAATATAGCCTCCAGATGGTTTTGGATTTAGATGGAAAGTGTCGGGGGCTTTCTTTCTCAGAAGCTTCCATTTGCGGTGTTTGGTGATAATGGAGAACCAAGAACTGTACCTGATATTTGTTCATAAGTTTGACCGTTACAAGAAAAATGTGTTCCAGATAAGCGTTTTTCAAATATGATGAGAAGATTTGATTAAACATTTTCAAATTTTGGACCTGCGTGACGCATAGCCAATATTAACATTTTCGACGAATTTTCATTTTTTATAGCAATGACCCCAGTTGGATTAGGTGATGAGGAAACTGGCAATATATTGTAGATTAGTCACAGAACTTCGTCTTCCTGTACTGGGGACATGTTCAAAGTTTGTTTAGAAAGGAAAAATCCATATGTTGTGCGTAACACAGTTCTACTCTTCTCTGCGTGTTATGCACTGCGCGATGTCTCAAACTCTCTAATGATGTTGATTTGGAGCTCTTCGATATTTTGGAATTCACCCCGCCCATAAATTCTAATTTTCTGGATCTGGAGACCTTTCTGGCTATGTCACTTTTCCATTATTCCCCCTATCCATCTGTCATCAAACCTTGTCATAAGATAATCAGATAACTATAAATCAAAGGTTAATCATCCAAATAGTCTTTAGGCGTTGACATCGAAAACTGATAATATGATTCTCCATTCAGAGTGCCGTTAAAAAAATGGGGACCCGAAATGTTTCTTTCTAAATACCTGCCTACACATGAAGACTAAATCGAACTTGGGAACATTGGGTAGAATTGTTAAATCTTCACATATGTCCATTGTTTCGATTGAATATTCAACGATTTGTCAAAGGACTTTCATAGGTTTAAATCACATTTTCTACGAAAGCTGGAAAATCGAGTCTCCTTTGTAATCTCCTTTCGGCATCACTTGGATGTAATTTTTGGGAGATATTAATTATGTAGCATTTGAAATCACTTTTTTTAGGTATCTTCAAGGACTCGTATGAGAAGACGCATCTACATCAGAGTTCTTGGAGTGTGGATTTTCCCGGGTTCATATTTATTTGCAAAATGCAGGCTTTTATCTGTCTCCAAATTTTTATATTAGTTTTTCAAACGAAGCAAGATCAGCGACATTTCTATCCAATAATTTAAACAAAGTGCGATGAGGTTGTCGTATTTCAGGGTAGATATTCAAATACATTTCCGACGTCTTGGTATCGTTTCTGTCGTTTTTATAATATATTTTTACCATATCTCATTTTCCTTCATTACTAAAGTCTATTTTTAACGACGCAGTTATGTATGTTCAATATATCGAATTTAAAGGACACTCAAATACAACTTTTATTACGTCAATAAAAAGGTAATAATGCGGGCTATTCAATACAAAATCCAATATATCGAATATAAGAAAAAATAAAATTGAAGATGGTTTGGGAAAAACGAAACGTCGTAAGGGACTTATGACCATGAGATCCTAATGGTGGGAGACGAATTTGAAAGACTCGGTATAGACAGATTTAAATGGTACAATATTATTATTATACAAAAAGAACTGCAGGTTCAAATGAAGAAGTTATTAGTATGTTATGCAACAAGTGTGGTAAACGGCATTTAAGTCACCAGTGACTTAAAAAGTGTTGCATACTATACTTTTTCTAAAACTCTTATTTTTTGGGTACATTTGTGCAGAATAACGCGAATACATTCACTGACATGGCAGTCATACCCTGACCTTAATGAGGAATGTTCAGAAAAGTTTATGAGTGTATTTGTTATTGACAACTGCGAATTAAATTAAATTTGTATTTGTTAACACTGGCAAATAAATAATTTTGTATTTTGTTTTCTATTTATCTTGATCCCACTAATTGCTACATAAAGAAATCCACAATAATAACGATAAAACGTCTTAATTAGGGAGTAATATATGTTTCTTTCTCAATTTATTATTTTACTATTATTTATTATTTTATTTCATTCTCTTTTTTTATGCCACCAGTGTTGGAATCTGATGTAAGGCAAGCCGTACTCAGACTTAAAAATTCAAAGTGTCTGGACTATTATATATTGAATGCCAGCATTTTCAAAAAATATCTAACTTCACTTTTAGGACCCATTACCTCACTTATTAATAAATCCATGGAGGAGGGGGTTTTCCCCCAAAAACTTAAGATCACAAAGATTTTGCCCTTGCATAAAAAAAGGGATCCGGAAAATCTAGATAATTTCAGACCAGTTGCAATTGTTCCAGTAGTAAGTAAAATTTTTGATATTATAATTAAAGACAATTTAATGAACTACTTTGAGGACAAAGGACTGTTTAATCAGTCTCAGTTTGGTTTTCGCAGAGGGAAGTCCACTATTCGGGCTTTGGTTACATTGATTGACAGTATGGTTGGAGACCTGGATGTGTGATCTTTCGAAGGCCTTCGACTGTGTTGACATTGACGTTCTGGCTCAAAAGCTTGAATACTATGGCATGAGAGGCAATTCACTGAGTCTGATTGAATCGTATTTGGCAGACCGTGTGCAATATGCATATGTTAATGGTACCGAGTCTAATATGGTAACGGTTAATAGGGGAGTTCCCCGAGGATCCATCCTCGGTCCCCTCCTGTTTCTAATTTATATTAATGATCTCGTAAAGGCTGTCGATACGGGGAACTGCATTCTATTTGCCGATGATTCGACCTTGATCTCTTCGGACAAGGATATTGCGACTTTGAAGGTGATGGCTGACGCTGATCTTCAGGCGGTTGACCAATGGTTCGCCGCCAATAAACTTAAGCTTAACACATCGAAGACGAAAAAAATGCTAATAACATCCAACAAAAGAACTGTAAAGTCACAGCCTGCTAAGCTTCTAGGTATCTTTCTCGATACCTTCCTAACCTGGTCGGCGCATATCGAGTATCTATGTTCCAAACTCTCCTCTCAAATCTTTGCATTAAGGCAATTAAAAGACTGCATTTCGCAGAAGACCCTAAAGACTATCTACTTTGCACTCTTTCACAGTCATTTGACCTATGGCGTGCTTCTTTGGGGTAACTCTTCAGATGCTGATCGGGTTTTTCGGCTTCAGAAGGCAGCAGTTCGCATTCTCCAAGGGGCTCCTCCTGGAGCACATTGTCGTGAGCTTTTTATTAAATTTAAGATTCTAACTCTGCCTTCCCTATTCATATACTACAACCTTCTGGAGGTCCATGCTGGTTTGCAGAGGTATCCTACTCATGGTGACTACCACTGCTACGACACACGCGGATCTAGCAATATTGTTGCACTTAAGTCTAGATTAGCCACTACTCAGAAAAATAAACTAAATTTGAACATATATAACATATTTGTGAACAACTATAACCGCTTGTATAAAGCTAACGCTAAGCAATTTACGATAAGAAAATTTAAGTTATCGGTTAGAAGCTATCTTTCCAGTTATGGTTTTTACTCAGTTGAGAAATTTCTATCGCATATCCCAAGAATATAGTGTATACTGTTAACTCAAGCAAATATTTTTATTTATTTTTTTTTTCTATAAACATATGTTTATATACATATTATTTTTTCTATTTCTTGTTAAATTTATCAAATTGTTGTTGTATTTATATTTTCTTCTTTTTGTTATTGTTGCTGTTATTTCTATTTTGTTATATTACTGAGTTTCGACTTCACAAATACATGTATGTGATATCTATTAAGACCTTTTGGCATGCGTTTACTGAATTTTAAATAATTATAATACGTATAAGTGTTCAAAATTTAAATTTTTACCGCAGACTGCCACCGAAACGGCCCTGTAAAATACATTAAATTATACGAATAGCAGCATTGCGAATTGCAAAGGCAATTAGTTTTGTTTATTTACGTTGGCCTGTATATTTTAAGTTCGTCTAAACGATTCGGTGTTGTTAGAGTAGTCGGACTGAATCGAAATTCGTTTTAATTGCAATTCTAACGGTATTGAACATGCTTTATTTTATATAATGTTGGCCTAAATAAATACCTACGTGTTAAAAACTATGCGAACGAAATCCAACTCGATTTAAATTTGGAAAATGGTGGCAAATACACGAATGATGTTCGATACGAACGTTCTTACTACAAAACAATTTTCATAGAACACGTAATGGTAATTGTAAACGAATTGCAAACTTCTCATTTTGTCTCCATATTCAATAAAAAATAAAATTTCAGTGTTACGGGTTTAATTTCACTTTGGTTACTGGCAGAAATATAATTGTGACAATTTAAGAACTTTAATTGTACTAGCTACTTACCAGTTTATTTCAAAAAGATAATTAATTATGCCATACGTGGTGTCCAGTATAGAGTGATGTATATGGGGATATTGGACACTGTAGGAGTTGCAGCGTCGCTTAAATGAAAGTTAAGTAGGCAAGGTGTGCCAAAAAATAATGTAGCTTCGTTTAATTTTAGGTTGATACCATTACGTCAGGCTGAAAAAGGAAAATATCCATTTTTGAAAAACTA